AAATTAAAACAGAAAGTCAAGATGCAGTGCTGATTCCTATGTCCACAGTTTATATATATATATATATATATATATATATATATATATATATAGATCACACTACCTTTGAGAACATCGTAATTGATCGTAATGAATGGAAGATTACATGCTACAATGGCATCAAGAACAAGGCAGTATCAAACATTGTCAAGCTTCGTCAAACTAGAGAAAGGAATAAAATATCTGCTCTCTATCCACACTCTTGTACAGTCTGTAGACTTCTTTGCAAATCACTGCCGGGACTGAAGTGTCACTTGCGACTCACGCACAACGTTAAATAAACAAAGTTGTTGGAACCTCATACGTCGAAACCGACGAGAGAGTTCATCATATATATATATATATATATATATATATATTGGCAGCATGTTTTCATGAAGACATGTCTCATGAAAAAAATTAGAGAAGTTTTGTCTACTTATTTTTAATAGGATCCTCTCATGATTACGGACAAGTTTCTTTGTATCCTTATTAAAGAAAGAAAGAAAATTACCATGTTGACGCATTCTCATTTTATTCCGGGTATTTTCAACATTAGCACAATGTCATCATCAGGGTGTTGTTTTTTATAAGGCAATAATTGTTGTGTTCACCATTTTTCAAAGACAAACATGTTTTCATCTGAAAATTATTTAGTATTTTCATCATAAAATTTAAAAATCGTACCTTACATAACCTTAGCGTTTTTCATTTCACAAATGAAAATTTAATTTTCAGATGGACACAACAATTTTTTTGAAATGTCGAAAGTACTCGGAATAAAATAAATATGCATCAAAATGATAATTTTCTTTCTTCCTTTAATAAGAATACTGAGAAACTTGTCCGTAATTATGAAAGGATCCTCTTAAAAATAAGTAAAGAAAAATTGTCTAAGTTTATAATGATGTCTTAATATATATACCAGGTGTAACAGAAAAATTGTCCAAATGCTGTAACAGCAGAATTGTCCAATTTTTAGATTAAGCTCTGAACCGCTGTATCTTAGAAATGATTAAAGATATCTTACGGGAATACTCCGAGATTATTATAACACTATTGGACACTACTTTGACCAATAAGAATGTATAATTACTCTTTAAGCTTCGTAAGAAATTGATCATAAACAAAAATGATATGATCATCATTAATTAATCTTAGCTAATGTTCGGAAGATCATGAAGTATTGAAATAATGTTCAGTTATATATGTATTATTCCTGGGCCATTTTCCAAATTATTCAAGATGATCTTCACCCTCCCTAACCTTATAACTTTCTGTCTTGGAGTAACAATTTGCCTCACACATTTCACGTAGGATTTAATTTTCAGGTCTTTCACTGCTTTTTGGGCTGTCATAGCTGAAACTCCTCTCACACGAAACAAATGAATTGACTTGGATCTTTTTTAATTGAACACTTTAGTTCTAAGTTGAGATGATGGTTTCTCTTCCTGTTATGACCTCCTGATCCAGTTTTCCTCTTCAGAGTTCCCCGCCCTTTTTTTTTTTAACTTATTCAACGTTTTCTTGATGGTTCTTGAATGTCCTTTGAAGATGAAAGCCAGAGTATGAACGGTGGCACAATTACTGAAGGTCTAAAATATTTTTTACTCTCATCATTGTTTAGTTGAGAAGACCATGGGGATGATACAAAACGATTTTAACCCGGTTTCTATTTAGCGGAATAACTCAAAGGGTTTTTCATTGATTCTTATGACAAATAGTTTCAAGATGGCTAAACGTCTTATTTGAAAATCTGGAAACTCAGTTTAGTGTTTTTTTTAGATATCAACATTTTGTGGTACGGTTAATTATGCCTTTACACGATTTTCTGTTACATCCGGTATACGTTTATACATATATATATATATATATATATATATATATATATATATATATATATATATATATATTGTGTTATTTAGGCGGCATTTTTGATTCATACATGTTTCATTGAATAATATAGACAAGTGTTGTCTATTTTATTAAACTTATCAGACGTTATGGAAATAATTTACATAAAATAAATAGACAACACTTGTCTATATTATGTAATGAAACGTGTATATATATATATATATATATATATATATATATATATATATATACACACCAGTTCAGTCGGGTTTCGACCCTAGCTGGAGGCAACCGGATGTCTAGCCACACTGATGAGCTGTGAAACAAAGTCTGTCTGTGGATGACGGTATATATATATATATATATATATATATATATATATATATATATATATATAAACTGTTAAATAAGAAATACATGCAACATCCTTGAAAATGGTTAAATGTGTAGCCGAAAGGGCTTGAAGTAAAAGAACATTTGGGCAGTTTTTATATAATTTATCATCTGAAAAGAAAAGAAAAACTATTAGATACAATGAGATATTGTATGAAATACTAAATCAAAGCACCATGTCTGTCGTATTCAATGGAATGTCCATGAAAGAAGGATTGCTACCTAAATACACAAATTATATATTTATGTATATCTATCTATCTATATATATATGTGTGTGTGTATAGTGTTTGTGTCGGCTGTTATATGTGGGGTAAATTTTAAGCTATGCTTATAATTATGGACACTTTTGGGGAACAGTTTGCATTTTAATTCTAATTTCTTATTCAAGACCCGTATTCTTCACTGCTTTTAACGAAAGACGTTAACATACCGCTTAATTTTCGGAACCGTCATTTAGAAGATTGAAGTTCAAATACAGTAAATTCGATCTTGCTAACCGAACGCTCGTCTGTGAACAAATCGGTTAAAGGCAAGTCAAGCTAAATGACGGTTCCGTATAACATACAAATTCGAATCCTGTCGGAGGCGGAGGACGAATATTTTCTGTGAAAATTTCTCGGACATTCAGGCCGGTAAATGTTGTTTAATACTGTTTATTATTGACAGAGCATTTATTTAAATATTTGTATCTATAAAAAGAATGTATCAACATAAAAATGTCTTAAAATAATTGTCGGACATTGACCATTTCATTATATATATTATATTATTATTTCTATTATAAGAGATTATAATAAAACCATGTTGAAATCGCTACACAAAAGCTTCATGTTTCAATAATTTGGCTGCACTTCTTCAGGCGATGGTAAGTAAGTGGTGATTAAATGATTTGTAATGAAATTTAAAAACAAAATGTTACCTCTTTTCCGAAAGTTAAAGATAGAGGAACATAAGGCCAGAATTAAAATTAGATCTATAGGTATGTCTTGATTAACCAATGAAATGGCAGATCTACTCTAAATAGAAAAGTAAGCTCAGAGGGAGGAGGTGGGCGAGTTATTTTTTTCATGTCATGATAAACCGGAACATAGACAGGCCATCATTTACGATTGCGGAAAAAAATGTCAGCAAGAAATGTATCGTGATTGTAGACAAAGATAACGTTCAATTTTTGAAACGAATTACCCGTAGAGAGTAGACCATTATTTACTAATAAGTTATGGCTATAAGATATGGTAATACTTAATTAAAAAAAACAAAACAAAGAAAAAAAAACACTATATTTTAAGGTAAAAGATTAACTGTGTCGACAATTTACTTAATTCATTCCTTTGTTTTAATAGGAATTTTTTGTCACAAAATTTGTAGTTTTTCATAAAAACATAAGAAGCAAGATTCATTTCACGATTTACAAGTTCTAGTTTTTTAGTGCTTCCATTTTACCCTAGTGGTTTTATTATCTTCTTTTAAATTCCAAAAATATTTATAAAGGGACGACCTATTTCTGTACCCCTTATTGGTGAAAGATAATAATGTTGGTACCACCTAGTTTTAAATGGATTCTTGGTACTCCCGATATAATTTTCTTTTTAATTACTGGATTTTCTATAGTACAAATAGTGCTTTAGCCAAACAAGAGAGTCTGTATGACATTGGCTTTGCAATGGAGATTCGTTAGAATTTGTACAATTATACTTGTTGGTATTTTAGCGTTAGTTGCATCGGAATGGCTATTATTAATCAGGTTTTTGCATTGATTTAAAATTTTATTATTATGTTCTTTAATAATTTTTTCAAGATTATCGGTACAGCTATATCTTAGATTTAGTCTATTTCGGTTAAAAATCTTAATTAGTGGATTATTTCTAGGGAAGTTTTTCTCGATTAAATGGAGAAATTTCTGCCTTAACTTAGTACTGACTATATGGTTAAATAGGGGTGTGTACTAAACGGTTTTTCTGATTCTATTTTTATTCCTACCATCGCTGTTGTTATGTTTTATATTGCTGATGTTAGGGCACTTATAGCCAGTATTTTAAGGCAGAATTATAAATTTTATTTTGATAGTAAAAGACATCTTCACTGGAAGAGTTGTTGCTAATGCTATATTCTATGGAAGAAGGTATGTGTTTCATGGATGTTGGGTAGAATTTGTATATATATATATATATATATATATATATATATATATATATATATGAGATTGGCGTTTGCCTTCATGTAGGGCTGGGATACATTATTAACTAATTCTAACGTAAGAGCAAGAAAATCTACTTTTTTAAAATAAGTGTTGATCTTAACTTTAAGGTTGAGACTTTTAATATCTCGATGTATTAATTTCCTGATTTTGTCAGCTTTAATTTTTATGGAATTTTTCACCACCATAAGGCCATCGTCTCTATATATCCCTATATTATCAATGTTTATATCTTGGTAGGCACTAAGATTATTTAGGTTAAATTAACCAACAAGGTTGAATAACTCAGCAGTTATTCTTAATCCACTGTTTTTTGTTATAGATATGAACAGATTTTCTACATTTCATAAGAATATCAAGATCCTTGTTGGAAAGATCAGTGTATCCCCTGTGTGTGTGTTTGTGTATAATTATATATATGTACTACAATAAGCCGAAGCCGTGGAAACACTTGGGGGTTTAATATACAAGGTAACCAAAAAAGTTCTGTACGTTTTTAAAAGAAAAAAAAAAGAATACGCTTCACAGTATG